GGGGGGGTTGTCGTTGTGATCTGGCAGCGGAATGCGGTTCTCCGTGAAGGTCTTGTCACTCAGCATGTCTGCAGGTCATGCAGGTACAGTTGTACATGTGAACCACACTATTGCTGTTTATAATCCTATCAGAGCTTGGGGTGCAGATCGAGAAACTGTACATTTGGTGTTTGTGTTTCTTCAGCCTCTCCAAGAAGCCCTTTGCAGTGCAAACACAATGACGCTCTGAACTCCTTGCAAAAAAGCCAAATCTAATTTCATGACTCAGGGTGTGGGAGCCTCAGATATAGTCCATCTCCTTTTTATTGGATTGGGAGGAACATGCATTGTGCGATGCTACTGCAACATCTCGCAATGGGAATCTGAAAATCTCGTGTTTGAAGCAACATATGTGGTGAAGCACACACATGGAAACCCACTGAGGTATGTGGGGAGTCACAGACATAATTATCTTTCCACCCACAGTCATGCATGTGCATGTGCTGTGCAAAGAAATGCTTGCACATGCGTTTTAATTGCATGTGCATTGTGTACTCTCCCAAAGATTTGCATGGGCAGACCATATAGTCTGTGAATTTGTCAAACACAGCGAGAAATGCATGGTGCTCATTTTGAACCACTGCCAGTTTGCAGTTCACAGTTTCTATCTTGCAATCTAAGCAGAAAGACGTCTGGCGATCCTAGTCTTTTCGACTTCTGATTGACATTTTTTTGGTTTCATAAATTCTCTGATTTGCATTATGTTCTTAATTTTCCTTCCTCTCCCACAACTTCCAGGTGCCTCTCTCCTTTTGTACTATATATCTAAGCCATGCATTTGCCTGTGGTGCGCGATGTGTTGTTTCTCCCTTTGTCTGTGCAGAGCCTGTGTATGGGACCATCTCACTTTACCACAGAGAGAAAAAGGAGAAGCTGTCAGAGGATTTCTATTTTCAGTTTCTTCCTCAAGGATGGCCAGGGGTGCGTGATTCCATTTGTCTGCCATATTGCATCGCTCCATACAACTAATTCTATGGAAGTGATTCACCCCTGCCTGCCAGATGGCTGGTGGGGATGTGCTTTTCGCTTCGCCAGATTCCTAAAAGGTTTGTTGGACTTTTTTTGGCTGAGTCCAGAAACACTGTCAAGCTGGTCGATTTGTTGAGTTAAATGATGGTTGGTTTTTGCCGCTAGATGAATGATGACCACTGAACTCAGCAGTTACTACAGGCAGGTTCCTTAAAAATGCTGGATGCAAACACAGATGCAGAATTCAATGGACAAAAAATTGAATGAAGTGGTTAGCAATGCCATTCAATGGACAGAAAATTGAATGAAGTGGTTAGCAATGCCAGCTTGTCAGTCAAGCATGTAAACACGATAGAGAGATAAGATCTCCCTGGCACTGACGAATCCATAGGTGCCAAATCGCTTAGTAACCACACTTCTTCGAGAGTTGTAGAAAGACGTTGCTTGATGAGGGGGCTTGCGATCCCTTGTACTCAGGGGTGCAGCAGGATATACACGTGTGCAGATCTATGGTGCATGTCCCATGTTCAGTGCACATGAAGGAGTGGGACAGAAACAGGGCTCGAAGTTTGAGGCCTGTGTGTTCATCAAATGTTGACTGTGTTAGTTTGTGTTTCAGGGCCTCAGTTCCCTGCAGCAGCTTACATACATGAAGCTCGGTCATGCCTAAAGCAGGTAGGCTGGGACAACATGAGACGGGACATCTGTGTTGTGACGACTTCCCATCTGACGCCTTAGGGACAGCAGCCAGGGCACTGTTAAAAGGAAACTCGTACTTGGTTATGGCTTGCCATATGACACCTTAGTCCTCATGGATTAGGAACGTTAGTGTACTTTGTCAATTAAGAACCTTCAGATACGTCCATAGATTGACCTGATGATAAGTGCAACATCAAGATGTTACTTGAGGAATGCATAATTTTAAGTACTTCATGGTAGGGCTGCATTGGGGGGCTGATGCTGACAGCTGATCTTTTAGTTCTTACCAGGTGCGCCCAACAGGGGTAAAGTCTAGGGGATCCACCTCCAGTTGCTCAGTGCAAGAATGGTGGCCCATGTAGTTTCCCAGCAGGGGTTTGGTTGATGATGGCGATTATCAATGTGCTAGGGCATGAGGATACAGCTAAGGTGGAGGACGAGAACAAAGTGGCCAGAGGGAAGCTGGAAGGGATTCTCCTGCACCATGTGCTGGCAGATACCCAGTGACAACAAAGACAACAATGGTGGCAATTAGGACACCAAGTAGTTGAGGACGGGGTGCGGATCTCGCATGGCAGTGCACTGAAAAAACAAATGACGATGACGACAAAAGTGGTCATTCAAGAAATAAAAGAAGAGGAGGAAGAAGTGTCTCTTTCTAATGTGCCTGCCCCTTTTGACTGCCTTGTGGACCCCAACAAATGATGGAGGCGTTGGTGCCAACAGTTTAAGAGGTCAGTAGGAAAGACTAGGGGGCTACTAACTGTCAGTCGTGAAACCTTGATTGTGCCATCCTGAAAGTGAACGAAGAAGAGCTGTGTGTGTGTGTGTGTGTGTGTGTGTGTGTGTGTGTGTGTGTGTGTGTGTGTGTGTGCATTTGTGTCAGCGTGCATGTTCATGTGTGTGTGTGTGTGTGTGTGTGTGTGTGTGTGTGTGCATTTGTGTCAGCGTGCATGTTCATGAACATGCATGTGTGCAGGCTAGTACACGTGCAGTTTTCGTGTGTGTGCACAGCATGTGGTGTGTCTCCATGCATTTCTGCGACAGGGGATAGGCAGAAAGGCTCATGCAAACCCAAACACTCACAAACATGTTATGTGCCTCTGCAAGTACATTGCACACGCACAGACACAGAGAGAGAGAGAGAGAGAGAGAGAGAGAGAGAGAGAGAGAGAGAGAGAGAGAGAGAGATGCATAGATGTGGGCCGAGAAGAGTGTGAGCCTTGTGAACGGCATAGAGAAGCCTTATGAAGGTGAAATCCCTGAGAGACGGAACCTGAAACAAGCAGAGTCTCTTGTTGAGCGCCATGAGTTTTCTGGTATTCTGCTCTCCCTCAACTCTTTTCCTCCTTTTCATCCTGTTTCTTGTCCTCATACTCGCTGTTGTTGGACAGGCTGCTGCACACATAGAGACACACAAATGTGGACCGAGAGGAGTGCGAGCCTTGTGAACAGCATAGGGTAGCGTTATGAAGGTCAAATCTCTGAGAGCCAGAACCTGAAACAAGCACAGTCTCCCTCATTGAGCGCTATGGGCATTTCGGTACTCGGTTCCCCCTGAACTCTTTTCTTCCTTTCCGTCCTGGTTCTTAAACCACGAGTTCACCCGAACCTGTTTTGACGAACCAAAAAATGAACTTCGCCGAGAGCAGGTACCAGGCTCTTTGAAAACTCAAGTGCTGGACCTGCTCCCAGCTCATGGAACGAAAAGCAGGCCGTATGTAGTTTTGTTTTTCCATTTTGTTTCTCGTTCGTTACTTTTGCGTTGTTTTCACTCATGTGGCAGCCCAGCCAGGCCGAAGGAAAAAAAAATCCATGCATGTACCGAGATTGGAATAGATACGTGGAGTGCTAGAGATTTGATAGATACGTTGCAGTACTCACGGAATACGAAAAAAATGAAGAAATAAAGAAAAACAAACGAAAGAATGGGCCTCTCTCAGGACGTACTTTTGTACTATTCATGGAGGTTGGGGCGCAATTGGAGTAGGATTCATTCTGGAAAGTACTATTGTGAGTTGGTGCACTCATGAGGTGAGCTCAGGTCGAGATGGAATGACTGAGTAATCACATGGGAAGTTTCCCGAATGCATCTGACTGCAATTACCACCAGACCTGGATGAATCTGTCTGCGAGCATGTCCGGAGTTTTGTAGAAAAAGATTTAGAGTGAGTATTGCCATGAGTAATGGTCCGTTCCAGATGATAGGCCTCGTTCTTCATTGCTGTGTGATTTTCTTGCGTGGAGTTCGTGGCCATGTTCAAGGCCTCGTCCTCTCTGGAAAAAAGGAAAAAACAAACAGAAAAAGATCGTCCTGCCTCTCACAGCAGGAGGGCACCTGACATCACCGAGGGGACGTTTTGTTCCGATCAGTGGCGGGCCTGGGGTGCCACACTCACACTATCACGCTCATAATTTTATCTGACCGAGGTTACAGATGAACATTACCACAATCACATCCAGAGCTTAGTAGAAAAAGTTCAGTGTCAGTATGCCCTTAACTAGTTCTTGTTTTCTCGTTCTTTTATTTTCTTCTCTGTTTCGTCATGCTGTTCTTCTGCCTTAAAGTGGCGGGCCTTACCAGCTCCCTTTTTTCTCAGTTCTTTTTTTTTTTTGCAAGGATCGAGGACCTCGGCTGGCCAGAAAATGTCCTGCCCGCCCTGAGTGAGGGTGGGCCAGGAAAATGCAGCTGGCCCTAAGGAAAGGCCAATGTGAGCAGAAGGGGGCCCTTGGTAGTTGCCAATATGTGTGCAGCATCTGTAACTAACCGGGAGGCCCAGCCCATGAGTAAGCTGGAGATACTGGGCCTGCGTACTCTTCTGGAAGGACCCGGGTGCAGGAAACTGGGACAGGGCGCAGCCTGGGCGTGGCCGGTCCAGGCTCTCCGGCCAGCACAGAGAGAAGGCCGCCCGGACTCGCACATGCGGGCATTGTGGCAATGCGACAGTACTGCTGGAGTAGTAGCTGAGCGCTGTGCCAGCTGCCGCGGTGGCAGCGAAAAGAAGAGGGAGAGCGCCAGCCATAGCCAGGCTGAGAGCTCCATCGCCACATGGTGGAAGTTGCGGAGTTCCATGGTGGTTGAAGGGAGGACCCGAGAAAGGAGGTAATGAGAACGAGGCTCATTCCTTGAAGGCAGGCTGTTCTATCAGAGCCTTCAAGCGGCATTGCACCTGTGACATGTGCACAGATTGCTGACATGTTGGTAGGCTAGATGTACAGGAGATAGGAAGTAGACTGGGCATTCAGGACGCCGATAGGAGAGATACATTGTTGTTGCTTTGGTGATTGGAGGCGTTGGAAGGGTGTAACGCTTTTTCTCGTTTGCAAGCCCGCACTTCGCTTTTCTTGGTCTGGCCGCAGTTGCCATTTTCACACCCGACGCCGGCCCTACCATTGTACCTGGTGGGCTGGCATCTCAATGTTTTGAGGCCCACCAGCCCTCTCCCCAAAAGCTCCACTATCCCTGGGACGAACGGTTCAGGGCTGGTACTCGTTGGCGAGGAGCAATAAACAGAGACCGGGGGATGGACGGGTGGTTTAACCTCATACTCACTTTTCTTGAACAGGCCGTGGCACAAGTATTATAATTTCACGCCCTTCAAAATTTCGCCTTCACAAAAAACTGTGTCCTGCTACTCACTGTGGGGTTAAGTTTGGCGTTCAATTGACAATTGCCGCTGGATAAGAGCACACATTTGTCAAGCATGGGTGTTCAAAAACCTCTCACAGCAGTACATCAATAATCTGGTCTGTTTCCCTCTCACCATTGGCTTTTCCAGCGTAGACACGTTGCTGCAACCGGAGCACCTCTTTCGTATTGGGCTTCCCAATGCGTCATCAGTTCACAATATTTGTGCTGATTCGAATTTTAAGGTCCTTAGAAGAACAAGTAAACGCGCCGCGGCTACGCCACGTCAGGGGGAACGTACCTTATTGAAGAAGTGGATTTTCCATCAGAATGAGAATGAACACAGAAATGTATGAAGTTTTGATAGTGCGACACTCTCTCTCTGTCTCTCTCTCTCTCTCTCTCTCTCTCTCTCTCTCTCTCTCTCTCTCTCTCTC